CCCCAAAACCCCAAAACCCCAAAACCCCAAAACGAAAAGATTTAGTTGAATTATAATAATTTTCCAAATTCGAAAATGGAAGGTATTCCCAAAATCAGTAAATTTTCTTTAATTTTTAAGCTATTATTGCTGTTTAAAGCAACAGAAACAATACCTTCTTTTAAGAACGTCACTTTCACTATTAATAATTATTCTCAAATATTTTTAGATAATGAAATTGAAGTTCCCCAAAACATGACTGGAGAGAGCAAGGATTCATTTATTTTGCATCAGAAAGAAGTAGAAATTTGACAGGAAAACTTTATAATGTTGAATACCATCATAGAGAATTTTAATAATGATAAGTTGAGAAAAGAGTAAAAATTTTAAATCAAGCCAATGTAATGCTTATCCCCATTAATCAGTTTTTCTGTCTTCTCTAGCTTGTTAACCCCTCTTAAAGCAAGAATTTTATGGATATCGAAACCTCACAGATGGAACATCTAAATTTTCAAAGATCGACTCCGCAATATTCAAGATAGGAAATCCTCAACGTAATACTATGAATAAATCGGGTTCATTCTCGTTTCCAAAACTTGCTCGGCTGGATATCGGAAATATGAGGAATTCTGATAAAAATTTGACCAAAATACTTCTGAATTTGAAAGTTGAAGAGGTATCAATAGTCTCTTTTGAGAGTGCATTATTTCTACAAAGGATTGGCAAATGTCTACCCTATATCTCTCGGTTTAGTTGCAAGGTAGAGCTAGTTGTAACTATACAGAAGTTTAAGATAAGTGCCCTCCAAATGGGTAGACTACTATCTGCATGCAGGCATGTAAAGCAATTAGAGATTCAGGAATGAAGTGTGGCGTGCTTCTATATTCCTAACTTTTTCAATGCCCTGGTAGATACAAAAATTAAGGTTCTTGATTTTATCTTACTGGAGGATATAACTTCAGCAACTGGAAAACTTACTCTCATGAGTTTGAAAACTTGATTTCTGCTTTAGGAAATACTCATCTGAGCTACAGTCTCGAAGCGATATATTTAGAATGATCAGAACTTGTTGAAACCTATGTGCGAAAAGTCCTTGATGATTCTGGGCTATCTAATGTCCTCCCAAAGGGGTGAGTCAATGTTCAGAAGTTCTCTTCCAGCTCAGAAAGCGATGATAGTTCTGATGATGATTACTAAATATTTGTCTCATATTAGGATATACCTAAACTCAACATTATTGTATCCAATGGGGTTTTGGGGTTTTGGGGTTTTGGGGTTTTGGGG